CCGAAACATCAGCTTTCCTGCTCCTCTGATGCTGCCTGGCCTGCTGTGTTCATCCAGCTCTACACCTTGTTACATCATCACTGGATGGGTTGTACATTAATGACCATTTTGTTTGCCATCAGCAGGCAGGTGTACCATCTCACAACAAATATACCAACAGTGACAGGTAGGCCAATTGCTGCCAGGTACAATCCATGGTGACCCTTAGCACTTATTAAAATAAAAACTTCTTAACCCAAAACTCTGAGACAAACTGCACAGACCTTTCCTTATGCATCTTTAATAGTTATGTCTCTGTGAAGTGTATTGGGCCATATGAGGAGATCCTTCAGCCATCCACCTGTACACCCTGAGGAATACACTGGTGATTCAATTCATCTACTTATTAACCTGGGATTTTGTCAAGACCTTGGAAAGAAGCAAACACAGCATCGGTGATCATTTGGGAATGTTGTGCAAAATACTTTGAGCACTTTGCTCATAGATTTTCGACAAATAATTCTGTCTTTTCCACCACACGGTGCTTCAAGTGATAATTTACTGACACACACGGTGGAAAGGCCCAAGACTTGGTTACCTTCTAACATTCATCATGGGGAGCTTTAAAAACAACTCCGTCAGACACAGGGGGCTACACTGGGCTCACTAACTCGAGAAAGCAGGGGTCCATTTAATGGAAAGGACTGATCAACGACAAAACCTCAGGGACAAACAACAAAACCTGAAATAATAGCTGACAGCAGGTAGTGCCATTTTAATCCACCCTCTCCAAACACTGTAGATAAAATGCTGAAGCTTTTAATCAAAGAAACCAAAATAAAAGTTTCCTCTTACAATCAGTTCCAAATTTAACTTGGGGTGGGGGAGGGGCAGAGGGATTCCTAACTTGCTGCATCAAATCTAACCTGTACATACATTCATTCCAAGTGCGCAGTAAACTTGCACCACAACTTCTCTTCATCGCACCAAGAGTTCTAAAACGGCAAGTGGATTCAACGTTTAAAAGGAGATCTGCGAATCAAACAGATCTCAGGGTAATGCTCACCTCCTCCTCTCGCTTCACACAGACTGGGGGCCGGCTCAGAAGGGGTTGACTGCAATCCACAGGAATGGGAAACTCGTTGCTGCTCCTGGATAATTGTAATCCCCACACAGAGAGAGAGAGAGAGAGAGAGAGAGAGAGGAGAGAGAACTCCTCTGCTATCGAGAAGGCTGCTGCTACTATCACTACTGCTGCTGTGAACAAACCCAATGCAATGTTGAGTCTCCCCTGCAGCCGCTCCCACCTTCCCAACCAACCAGCAATCTTCCTGGGCTCAGGTATGGGCGGAACCTCAGCATTTCACTGACACTTCCCTTCACTTCTCCCACTGTTTGGGGGGCAAAAAAATGTATCGGATGGAGGATTCTTTTTTTAGTCACTCTGTGAAATAACACACACACACGCACTTCGCTCTTCAGAAAAAAAAACTTAATTTAACTCCCAGAGAGACGTCACCTCACTTGCAGGAAGAATAAGGCTTCACTTCCTGATGAAGTCACTGGCTCTGTCACCTGAGTCTGCATGTGTTTTAGTTCAAGGGCTGCTCAGGAAACAAACCAGATTCAAACAGGATTGACCAGCTTCCCCGGGTCTCTGAAATCTCTTGGTTAATCAAACAATGGACGCATTTTCCAAAATTTCCCTATTTTTAAAGCGCAAAGAAGCTGCAGCAGAGAAACTGTTCATTCAACCCAATTGCTCAGTCAGTACTAAAGCTCTGCACAAGTCTCCTTCATTCCAATAACCTTGTTCCACCCTGTCCCTCAGTTTCCTTTTGGCTCACGTAATAAAAACATAACAAATAGGTTCAGCACTAGGCTGCCTGGTACTGCAAACCTGCTCCACCATTCAATAGGATCATGCCTGATCCAACAGTTCTGACATCCACTTTCACGCATTTTTCCTGTAACTCTTGATTCCCCTACTGATCAAGAATCTCTTCTATCTCATCCTTAAATATACACAAGGACTCTTCCCCCACAGCTCTCTGTGGAAAGGAGTTCCAAAGACTCAACTCTCTGAGATAAGAATCTTTTATTCTCTTGTGGGATATGGGCATCACTGGCTGGGCAGCATTTATTACCCATCCCTAGCTGCCCTTGAGAAGGTGGTGGCGAGCTGCCTTCTTGAACTGCTGCAGTTCCTGTGCTGTAGGTTGACTCACAAGGCCCTTAGGGAGGAAATTCCAAGATTTTGATACAGCAACAGTGATTGGATGATAATATGTTTCCAAATCAGGATGATAAGTGGCTGAGAGGGAAACTTGCAGTTGCTGGTGTTCCCATGTATCTACTACCCTTGTCCTTCTAGATGGAAGTGGTCATGGATTTGGCTAGGATCTTTGGTAAATTTCTACAGCATATCTTGTAGAAAATAAACACTGCTGCTACTGAGCATATTTGGGAGTGGATGCTTATTGATGTGGTGCCAACCAAGCGGGCTATTTTGTCCTGGATGCTGCCAAGCTTCCTCCTCATCTCGGTGTTAAATTTGTGCCATTCAATCTGAGACCATACTGTCTGGTCCTAGACTCTCCCATGAGGGGGAACATCCTCTCAGCATTTACCCTGTCAAGCCCCTTAAGAATCCTATATGTTTCAAACAGATCATTATTTATTCTTCTAAACTCCAGTGAGTAGAGTCGCAACCCGTTTAACCTTTGCAATCCCAGCATTCAGAGGGACAGTATTGAGGGATCACTACACTGTTGGGGGGTAGTCAATACTGAGAGTGCTGCATTGATTGGGGGTGGGGTGGGGAAGCATTACTGAGGGAGCATTGCATTGTCAGAGAAGGAGTGCTGAGGGAGCACTGCACTGTCAGAGAGCAGTACTGAGGGTGTAATGCAGTCAGAGGAGCAGTATTGAAGGGAGGCTGCACTTGGATGAGCAGTACTGAGGAAATGTTATATTGTAGGGGGTGTTGACTGAGCCACCTGCCCTTTCATGTGAATCTAGACGACCTGACTACTTGAAGAGCAAGAGAGTTCATCCTAATGTCATGAGCAACACTTATTCTACAGAAAAGCATTTCTAATTGCCAAATTGCTGTTCTGGGATCTGTCTGTGCTCAAATTAGCTGCTGCATTTCCTGCATTACAACAGTGGCTGCACTTCAGAAGGAATTCATTAGCTGTAAAGTGCTTTGCGACACCCCGAGGCTGTGAAAGACTTTCAATGACCTGATTTTCCCTCCTTCCTTTGTCTCCACTTTGGAAAATATTTCATTTGTAACCACATCTAGCATTACCTCGGTAATAAAGCCCCACCCCCATCTGCTAAACTCCCCAGACTGACCTGGGAAAGGAGGGGGAGGGGGTGATATTAGGAAAGGGCTGGTCTCTGTTCCCACCGCTTTGGCATTATCCCTCCTTTTGTTTGGTGACCCCATTCTACATTCTGCAAAAGCAGGTCAGTTTCACTGAGAGAAGGGAGCAACTGAGAATTGCATTAGACCATTGTATCTTTTTTTCTATCATTCTGGGCACAGAAACCTGTTGGAATGAAACCAGATAAGTAAGGTATGCATTGGAAACACATCACTCAGGAATGCTGGCTGGTGCAAGAGACTCTGAAATGATGATCTGAAGCAAATACTTGTGCAGACAGCCTCATTCACAACTCCCCTGTGAGCTGGGAAAATGTGTTTAAGACGATTAAGGGTTTTGACAGAGTAGATGAGCAAAACTACTCCATCTGCTGTGTGTGTAAAACAAGAACAAAATCTTAAAAGGTGGAGCTAAGCCTGTTTGGGTGCTTTCAAGAAACACTTGATTACACAAAAGGCATTGGAAATCCTAAACTCTTCCCCTTGTGTTGTAGATTCTGGGGTAAATTCAAAGCTTGAAAAACTGAGAGTGAGATTAAAAATGACACTGAGGTACAGATCAGCCAGAACCTGATAGAAACCAAAGTCAAAAATAGCAAAACAAAACCCCAGGGAACTGCAGATGCTGGAAATCAGAAACAAAAACAGAAATTGCTGGAGAAACTCAGCAGATCTGGCAGCATCTCTGGAGAGAAAGCAGAGTTAACATTTCAGGGTCAAGTGACCCTTCTTCAAAAACTGCAACTTGCATTTATATAGCAACGTTAATATAGTACAGCATAAGAATAGTGGTAGGCTTAATAGGAAAATTAGTAAATAGGATCTGACACTAAGTCACAATAGAACAAGTCCTCAAAGCTTTATCAAAGAGCAGGTTAGAAGGATCATCTTAATGGAGGAAAAAGAGGGACAGCCAGAGAGGTGTAGAGAGGGAATTCCAGACCTTACAGTTTAGTTAGCTTAATCCTGGCTGCCAATGGTGAAGTAGTTAAAACTGGGATTGAACAAATGCCTGAATTAGGGATGTGTAGATATCTCGGAGAGTTGGAGGGTAGGAGGAAGTTACAATGATAGGCAGGAGTTAGGCTATATGAGAGAGTTCAAAACAAGGATAGAATTTTAAAATTAAACCATTGTTTAACCAGAGCTTATGAGGGCCAGTAAGCAGAGGGGTTTTGGGTGAGAGATTTAATGCAAATTAAGTCACAGGGAATGTTCTTAAGTTTAAGGAGGATAGAAAGTGGGAGGGCAGCTTCAAGTGCATTGGAATAGTCAAGTCTAGATATAACAAAGATATGGCTGAGGGTTTCAGTAGTAAATTCACTGTGATGGCCTGAAGTAACATAATATTAAGAAAATGTAAATAATCTGAGTGACAAAGCAGGTGTGTGGTCAGAAACATATCTTGGAGTCAAACAGCAAGGTTATAAACAGTCAAGCTCAACCTTGGAGAGTTGCTAGGGAGAGGGGTGGATTTGGTAACTAGGAAACGGAGTTGTAGTGGGGACTCATTGAGTTAAAAATTTAGTTCAAGGAAGTTTCTGGTCATTCAGCAGTAGTTGGCCTGCTCTCGAACCTATCCATCGTCCAGAGTACTGACTGATAGAAAACAGAATGATTCCAGGTTCTTCAGGTTTGAACTCAATTACGATATGATACGATGCATTGGAGCAAATCTTTGTGGCATTCAGTAAGTGAGGAGAATCAGTCAAGATTACTGTTGCTGACCTTCAAGCGTTTGCGAGGATGCAGAGATTCAGCAGGCATGGCTTCAGATAACTTTGAACAGGAGGATGTGTGTAGCCTTTGAGTTTGATGCTCTGGTGAGGGATACAGGGTCAATGTTAGTTCATCAAGATCTCAAAACTGATGGGGTTGTGTGATTTTATGTAGGAAAAGGCAGAGGAATTTTGGACAGACTTGAGTTTAGGGAGGGAGACGGTTGGGAAGCTATCAGCATGATAGAAAAATCAAAGCTCAGGGTGACAGGGAGGCAACTAAGACTTTTGGTGGGGTTGGGCTGGAAGCTTAGATCTGGCATGGAAAAGAACGTGAGATTATGCACAATGTGAACTAGCAGTAAGGAAGAACATTGGGACCTAATAATGAGGAGGAGTGGGTTTGTAAAATGATTGTGGTTAGTTAGAAGAAGCTGTGTCTTAACCAAAGTCTAATATCAGTCAATCTGAGGGGACAGAGATGGTCACAGGGATTAAGGGCAATGTAGAGCTAGGCATTACAGGAAACGAGATCTGCCTGTATTGAGCAAGAGGACCTGAACTGGAGCGGCAAAGATATGACATGAAAATGCTAGAGCAGAAACCAGCTGTTTGCACTGTGACAAGAGAGTGAGAATGGTGTCGTTCACCAACTGTGACAAAGCACTGACTTTGCTGTAACAAAGAACCACTACATATTTAATCTTGCAATGCATTCTTAAAAGGGTACAGGTCTGGCTGAATGATCGGAGAGAGATCAGAGAAAGGAACCGGGAAAGGGATCAGAGAACACATTGATCTTTCTGGGACTCCCAATTCTTTGTTTCATTCTGATTTTCGGCAGTTCCAACAGCAGCGAAATTGAACTGTAGGCTTCTGTGCAAAATGGACAGTTTGAAAGGAATTGAAAAGGGAAGAGAATTAGGCTGCTGTAAAAGTAATTTCCCACTATTGTCTGCTTCAAGCAAACTTACCAAAACCAATCAATTTCAGTACCTCCGGCCACACTGTTTCACTCTGGACCACACATTTTGTTTCAGCCTCAGTGATTCTGAATGGCTTTCTTGTTTATTATACTTTGCTTTTTATCATGTCCTGTTTTGATGATCACATTGTGACAAATTGTTAGTGATATTTTCAATGCATAAAAAAGATTAATGAATTTAATTTTCATAGAAAAAACACTTAGGGTGATTTCTATAACTAGATGTCTATCCCGAAAGCTGGGGTTTACCGATCACTAAGTTGTAA